TTTGGATAACTTTATTTACCCGTATTTTTATCCCTTAACCGACACTTTAACTCCTTTTTCACCCAAAGTGACTTTATTTCTTTCTTTCTTTTTGGAGAACAGTGACTTTATTTCTTTTACTTCGTAATTATACTTCAATATTAAATCCATAATAAATGTGAGGGTCATTATACATTTGAGGTCAAGTTTCCTCAATAAAGTCAAATTTCCTTTTTATTTATTTATTTTGTTTGTAACAATTGGTATCAAAGCTTAGGCATGGACAAACGCGTTCAAAAATTGAAAGACGCTGTCCAGTCTTTGTTGGAGCAATTTAAGGAGATATTCACCCAATTCTCTAACAGTTGGACTTCTCAGTGGATAACAGGCCCAACACCCTCTCATCTGCAATTGGGTTGGAAAAACTATACGAGGCCCGCAATCAGAAGATCAGTTCCCTGTTCAGAATTTGCGATGGACCATAACTGTCAACAACACCAAGGGTTCATCTTTATCCACTCCCACCAGCGGTGCTGCATCTTCTGGCAGTGGCGACTCCTCCACTAGTTCGACTCTCGTTCGCTGTTTGACCTTCGAAGAGATATATGAGCGACAATAGAAGGGGTTTTGCTTTCGCTATAATGACGCATTCACTTCTGGCCATCGCTGCAAACAATTGTTAACCATCCAAGTAGTGACAAAAGAGAGCGACGACGAGACGGTAATAGACGAAAGGAGAAGTGGAAATTGAAGATAATTCAATTAGTTGATATTGAACTTTACTCTTGATGACAAGAATAATTTTAGGGGAGGGAATATTATGGTTCTATTTATGTTATTTTATTATTTTCTGAACTATTGTATTGTTTAAGTAGTGAGGAGTTATTTTTTTTGTTTTGTTATTAATGGAGTCTATTTGATATTAGTGGGTAGTTACTTATAGGGTTAGCTCATATTATCTATTTAAACTTTTAAATATTGGAATAAAAACTATCATGTCAGATTAGAAAAGTTATCTCAAAAAGTCATATTTTCTCATCATTTGAGGTTAGACTTTCTCAATAAAACTAATTTTTCATTTTTATTTATTTTGTTCGTAACAAAATGATTTACCTTTACTTTCATGACCCTAAGGGCTAACTTCACTCACTTGAAAGAGGAAGACAAAGATGTGAACATGAAGTTCAGAAGTTCCCCAGAAACAAGACCACGTACTTTGCCATTAAGTGCGGTTTACTTTCTCACTATTAATGCTTTTTACGAGGGCTAGACCGCAGAGCATCCCTGTAGTTCTCTAAAGCGTTTACAAAATGCTGAATTCTTTCATTCCGTGATGGCTCCTCTACGAAGAAGAAATCGAATTGAATCACTTGAGTACGGGGCTTGGAGTTGAAGATTTGTATAGGGAGGATTCCCCTCATAAAACAGCGTTCCCTATAACGAATGATTTGCATTAGAAACCGAATTGCTGGCTAACTTGGGGTACACCCTTGACATTAAAAAAATAAAAAATCTAGTGTTTTTAATGGACCCCTAGTTTTGAGTGTTGACAGATTTATCTCATATTTTTGACTTTTTGATTCTTCTAACTCTTTTTTAATAATTAATTATTAAATTGTTCTTTATTATAAACTATTTCAAAAATTTAACTCCCTCAAAAAACATAAATCAATCTGCTCCTGTTTGACCGTTGACCACCAAGCCTACCCGGGTACACCCCTTCTTACACGGGTATTTTTTGAAATTTTTTGCCTACCCGAGTAGGAAGGGGTGTACTCGGGTATTTTTCTTGGCACCTGAGAAATTGCTTGAATTATTTACCCGGATAAGGAGGAGTGTACCCGGGTAAATCTCGACGATCCTTCCTCAGGGAACAACAGTCCACCATCTGGATCTGGGAAGGCTGAACCTACACCAGGAAACTCAAATTCAAGTTCTAATAATTCTCATGAAACAACAAAATCCAAAACGAAAATCTTGGTTTCAATTGTAGCCCCCATTGCGGGTGTGGCTGCTGCAGCTTTTCTTCTCATTCCACTTTATGTATATTATTTCAGGAGGAGAAAGGATGGTGATTCACTAGTAATTCACCCTAGAGATCCATCTGATTCAGACAATACCGTAAAGATTATTGTTGCTAACAATACCAATGGAAGCATTTCCACTGTAACAAGGAGTGTGTCTGGGAGTAGAAACAGCAGTGGAATGGGGATTCTCATGTCCTTGAAGCTGGAAATCTTGTGATATCAGTTCAGGTTCTAAGAAATGTGACCAAGAATTTTGCCCCCGAGAATGAGCTAGGTCGTGGTGGATTTGGCATTGTTTATAAGGGAGAATTGGATGATGGAACAAAAATTGCAGTAAAACGAATGGAAGCAGGTGTGATTAGTAACAAAGCCTTAGACGAATTCCAGGTTGAAATTGCAGTTCTATCAAAAACCATGCAAACTACAAAAACGAGATTTACCCGAGTATATCCCTCCCTACTCGGGTAAATAATTTAAGCAATTTTCCAGGTGTCAAGAAAAATACCCGGGTACATCTCTCCCTATCCGGGTAGGTAAAAAATTTCAAAAAATACCCGAGTAGGGAGGAGTGTACCCGGGTAGGCTTGGTGGTCAACGGTCAAACAGGGGCAGATTGGTGTTATGTTTTTTGAGGGGGTTAAATTTCCGAAATAGTTTATAATGAAGGTCAATTTGATAATTAATTATTAATAAAGGGTTATAAGGGTCCAAAAAACCCATATTTTTTCAATCCCAATGGCATGTTATTGGTAAATTGGGTATGTGTTAAGAATGGTTATTGGTAATTGGGTTTGTGTTAACAATGGCACATGAGGTCAAAATCCTTTACAAGGGATACATCAAATCAAAATAAGTGAAATATTTCTAATATCTTCTGTGAGATCCAACATCATGCAAATATTAGGGTCACACTGTGATGAATGGTATGTGAGAGTCCAAAACCCTTTGCAATGCATATATCCATCAATAAGCAAGCATCAAATCACAATAATAAGTGAACCGATATCACATCTGAATCCAAAATCTTAAAATTTTAGGTCCATAGGTCTTTTGCAATTATATAATCCTCACTTAACCCAGGAGAGTGAACCAAACTCTCTTTTGTTTAATTCCGAAGATAGAAATGCCAGAAACCTTTAAAAAATTTAGGCCAATTAACTTATGTAACGTAATCTACAAGATCGTTACAAAAATTAGGCAAATTTACGCTCATGGCCGATGGGTCGAGTGCTGATTCAAATAGATGTTAATAGTAACTGGGTCAAAATTAATATTTTTTTTCTCTCGAGAATCAAAATTAATGTCGACGGGTCGAGTGCCGGATGAACTCAAATAGGTCGGGGTGCATGGTGGTTTATTCGTGATACTCTTTTTTTTTTAGTATCCTGAAAGGGGAAAACACACCCCAAAAATAGGCTAGAAAAGATAAATACAACGAGTTTTATCAAAATCACCTAAATCAGTTAAGTACAAAAAGAAAATACCAGGAGGGGGGTAGATGGAAAAATACAAAAGTCCTCTTGATCCGGATTCACCAAAGGAAAGTTTGACAACCAATCCACACAACAATTTCCTTCTCTGTAACATCCCGGGCGCTGACGAGGGTGGGGAGTGATCGCCGGTGCGAAAGGGCATGGACAAGGAGCGGCTCCTGGCAGGCTTCTAGGGACGGGGGTACATGAATGAATCGAATCAACACCCGAAAGAGAGGGATTCCAGAGACTGTGCTGGTATGGGACGGTACAGTTGGGAATGGCTTATAAGAATTAATTGGTACTACCTATACTAACAAGATGCATCTACTTTTCGGTAGCCCGGATCGGAAGAACTCCATAGTTAAGCGTGCTTGACTTGGGGCAATTCTGGGATGGGTGACCTCCTGGGAAGTTTTCCCGAAAAGTGTGCGAGTGAGGACAAAGCACGCTGAAAAGTCTCGTGTTAGTGTGTGGGGACAGTCGTTAATCCTTGCATGTTGCCAGGCGTTACATTCTCTATACATGTGTTTTACTATCACTGACCACTCTCTATCCATCCATGTCCATATACGAGTAATAAGATGAGACTCACAGGTTGGCTCTGATGTTAAAGAGTCACTTTCTATTACTAACTTTCTCTAACCATTTGAATTCCTTTTAAAATGCCCCTCAATTCCGCCATAATAGCACTACAATGACCAACTCGATAGGAGAAATCAGTTAGTCATTGACCAGTACTATCTCTTAAATCTCTCGCACATGCAGCCGGTCCTAGGTTATCTTTTGCAGCTCCATCAATATTAAGTTTTACCCACCCGGGTCCAGGGTTTATTCGTGATACCTCTCACCCATTTTCAGTAACGTTTATTTCCTCTCTCTTTTTCTTTCAAGGATTTATTGCCCATTGTCTCACGTGCTTCAGCTCAAACAAAAGTTCAAAACGAGCACGTAAATAATTAGAATGACGAGAAGCTGTGAAATTGGTAAAGTGACTCAATGTGAAAGGAGATTTGAAGTTCACAACACCAATTGCAATGTAAAATGATATGGAGACATCAATGCTTTCCATAGTGTACAAGAAGAACTTTACTCTTCCTCTCTAGTGTGTAAGATAGACTTTTTAGTAAGACCAATTTTCCATGTGAACGCATTTGAACATATCTGTCCCCTTTTGGATTTATTACAGCTGTCCAACAACAACAACAACAAAATAAATAAATAAATAAATAATATTAGCAATATTATTGGTCCCGAATTTAAATGCACATATTAAATTTTAAAAATAAATAAATAAATAAAGGAGACACACAAAAACCCATCATATTATACAACTCCACAAACACAATTTTCCCCACACACTCAGCATTGGATTTAGCAGGAAATTCATAAAAAGTAAACAAAAGGTGGACCGACATGTCACTATTATTCTGTAGCAGTTCCACACGTAAACCACTATAGGCTCTTTAAGACGGGTTAGCAGTAAATGTCTTCGATACGCCATGCCTCTTCACCTGGTCACTTTCCTATTCCTATAAATTGATCAATCCACCACCACCATTCCATAATTGCGCCATTCAAATTATAAACCAAACAATCATAGTCTAAATTCCACTAAATTTTGTGATATCAATTATTCAAAGAGAGGCCAAAATGGAGTCTAAGGGGTACATCTTGATGAAGCTTCTGCTGCTTATGAATTTGTCAGTTTTCTGTGTTTCACAGGACTTTGATTTCTTCTACTTTGTTCAGCAGGTTGGATTGTGTCTTAACTCTGCAAAACCTTATTGTTTGGTCATTCATCTGTTAGTAAGGTTTTATTTTATGAAAATGTTTCTTATGGATTTTGCATTTGCAGTGGCCGGGATCATACTGTGACACACAGAAGAGTTGTTGCTACCCAACAACTGGTAAGCCTGCTGCAGATTTTGGCATTCATGGGCTCTGGCCTAATTACAGAAGTGGCTCTTACCCTTCTAACTGTGATTCTAGCAATCGTTTTCAGCAATCTCAGGTACTTCATTTCACACCTATTGCAGTTTTGATTTGACATTATCAATCTGCAAAATTCATTTTTTTCATTGGCCCGAGCCTGACCATATGTTCTCATTGCTTTATGTTCATTATTTATTACATACTATTATTTGACAAGCTCCACAATGCAGCCTGTTCGGAATTTGTTCAATCTTCAAATAAACAATACATACATTGCAAGGATCATTTTTTTATTCAATCTTTTCTCCACCTGCTTACTCCTTTTTGTATACAGAAAAATAAAAATAATGCTTCATCCGATTAAATTTTCATAGAATATATTGCCTTTTTGTTCCCTCACGTCACAATACAAACGCTTTCTGGTGTTCTACTTTCTGTTGGGGCAATAGAAAAGTCAGTTTGTTCTCTTTTTATGTGTCTCTATACAAACTTTTTAAAGTTTTTTTCTTCTCTTCAATTAAATAATAGTGGCACAACTGCTAAGGTCAGAAAGGTTTAAAAAAAATGATTTTTTTTCTACCTCCAAGTGCCACCTTTTCTTGTAGTTGACCCACTTCCATGAGAACTAAAAAGTCTGATGTTTTTTTAATGCTTAATTTGCCACTTATGTTTGTATATTAATATATATGGTCACAGATATCAGACCTCACCAGCAGCTTACAGAGGAATTGGCCCACACTAGCATGCCCAAGTAGCAGTGGAATACAGTTCTGGACCCATGAATGGGAGAAACATGGCACTTGCTCAGAGTCAATCCTCAAGCAACATGACTATTTTGAAGCAGCTCTTAACCTGAAGCAGAGAGCCAACCTCCTCCAAGCTCTAACAAGTGCCGGTACATTGCATATTCAAAACTTGTTTAATAATTGCCTACATATTTTTGTCATGTCATGGCAATGTTTGTACTCAATTATTGAAAAACATGCACTTGGTGACAGGAATACAACCAGATGGAGGGTCTTACAGCCTGAGCAGCATCAAGGGAGCTATAAAAGAAGCAATTGGGTATACTCCATTTGTTGAATGTAACGTGGACTCTTCAAGTAACAGCCAGCTTTACCAAGTTTACTTGTGTGTGGACACCTCTGGCTCAGACTTTATTGAGTGCCCTGTGTTTCCTAGTGGCAGATGTGGATCGGAGATTGAGTTCCCATCTTTCTAATGCCAGGGATTGAGTAGAGTTCTGTAGGATCATCTTCCTCTTCATGTTCATTTGCTGATATTTGCTTACAATAATATTGTACTCCACTTGTCCTTTTCATAACCAGTTGTAACCAATTATGCTTGTGCTTTATTCCTTAAATCGCTACAATATATCATATAAAATTGGATAACAGTGGAATTTTTTTCCGAAGTAGAATCAATTGGAATCTTCTTTTTGAGCATTAACAGTTCTAGCAATTGGTGATTTTATCTTTTGGAGACCATTAAAGAAAACAAAAAGGTTAAAAATATAAGTTATTGTAATTTCAACGTAAAAACCAATCTACTCCCGTTACTTTTACTTGTTTAAAATTAATCTTCTAAATTTTACTGAAGCAAACTAAAATTAACAAAGTAATGTAATTTTTTGCATTAATTAAAGAGTTATGTTCACGTATATCCTTAGGCTATGTTTAAATCCATACACCATATAAAAGGAAGAAATGAAGGGGAATAGAATGGAATAACATTCGCTGTGATGCTCTGAAATGTTTTACCTCTAATTTAAAACTAAGACGGTAAAATGTTTTATTAATTTAAAAACAAATCATCTGTATTTCCAAAAAAACAAATCATCTAACCTGAGTGTTTTATAGTAAATGTTAATTATATAGAAGATATATCTAATTGAGTACTTTACAAATAATAAAGTCACTAGGTATGGTCTAATGCTAAGGGGTTTGAGTAAGTTGTATTAGGTTATATGTTTAATTCCTACTTGTATTTAAAATAATAATAATAATAATAATTAATAATAATGCGTAACTTGTTTGGGTTTTATAAGAGTTATGTTGTAGGAAAAGTGATTGTGTAATGTTATAGAGATTCGTTTTGCGTGCCTTAATTTTTTATTTATTTTTTTGTTTTAAAAAGTGTGGGCCCCACAAAATGTTGTGAGTGTAGGAAAGTTTGTTGTGTTATGTTAAAGGATAAAACGAAAACCCAACTTGTTTTATCACTTTATCTTACATGTCAGGCATTTTAAGTGAACTTTGAGTAGCTTCTTGGAAGAGCTAGCTAGTTGATTCTTATCTCTGGTCTTAAAAGTAGATGTCGAACAAAATTTGAGTGGACTAACTAGTAAGATAATTAACTTTCATCTAGGGGTGGCAATATGGGTTGAGCTCGGCAGGTCAACCCGCCAAAACAGGGCGGATTGGGTTGAGATTTTCAACCCACTAACCCACCTCAACCCGCCCCGCCTAGAAGTGGGTCAAGCGGCGGGTTGAACCATCGGGTTTTAAAAAAAGAAATTATTTTTTTTATTTTTTTACAATTAGGTAATATTTCATTAGTACTTAAATTTTTGTGATATTTAATTTTTTTTATCTTAGTACTTTCTAGAAAAAATAAAGAATAACAATTTTATTTATGACAAATGTTATCTATTTATAAATTCCTAAAGAATGTTTGACAAATATTAATATACATTTAAGATTGAGACTAAAAAAATATAGAGAAGTGTGAAATAAAATAAAATAATATTAAAAAAATTCATAAAATATAATTTATTTTTGAATTTTAATTAAATTTTTTTTAATTGGCGGGTTGGTAGGTTGACCCGCCAACCCACCATAAAACGGAATGAGTTTATTTTTACAAATTAAATTTTTTGGCGGGTCAACCTGCCCCGCCCCATTTTTGGCGAGTTGTTGGCGGGTCGGGGCGGGTCAACCCAAATTGTCACTCCTACTTTCATCTGAGGTGCCTCTCTCAACTACATATTTTATCAGCTCCATGACATCAGTTAACTCACTTTTAACTTTAGTTTGCTCGTGCTTTCACCGATCCATACCTAACGTAAAATTTGACCATAACGAAAGCTACGTCTTATTATATGTGTGCGACAAATTCTTCACGAACTAAGATAAGATTATGTCAACCGTAAAATTTATAGGAGACAACTTTGTTTTGTTTTATATGCTGCTTTGTTTGGTGGAGAAATGTGATAAGATAAGACATTATCAATGGACGTTCGATTTGTTGGCATATTCCATCGACATGCCTTCATAGTTTGCCTATTCTTACCTTATATGTACCCACCAATAGGTACAGCATTTCAGAGCCACATCATTGCATTATAATCATTTGCTTGTGATTTGTGAAGTGCCAGCATCTCAAACCATTGAAAGACACAGAGAGAGAGGAGGCATATATCAAAGATGAAACCAAAGTTTTCCTTGTTGTCCAAGCTTTTGATACTGCAGTACCTTTCAGTTCTGTGTTATTCTCAGGAGTTCGATTTCTTCTACTTTGTTCAGCAGGTAAATGATGGTGTTTGCTATGCTCATGATAAAATATCAATGTAATTTTTCTTTTGTGTTGATTCGTTTAAGTTATACTTCTATTGACATGCAGTGGCCAGGAGCATACTGTGACACGAAGCATAGCTGCTGTTACCCGAAGACAGGAAGACCTTCAGCAGATTTCGGCATTCATGGACTCTGGCCTAATTACAATGATGGCTCGTATCCCTCAAACTGTGATCCTGACAGTGTCTTTGATAAATCTCAGGTATGTTTGAGAATTCATAAACATAATAAGAGCATACATAATGCCTGGATTGATTAAAGATGACCCTAGCCTGGTTTTGTTCGCGTTAATCTAAAATGCAAGCACTAAGAAAATTGTGATATATTTCATAAAATTTCAAAGGCAATACTTTGGCCAAAAAATAGTCTTACTGATTTCCACATCTCAATTTTAACCATTTGGAGTCTTTCTCAGTACTGATGATCAGTTCAAATCTCTTGTCAAATTCATTACATATATACCCAACTCTTTTTGGCAAGGTTAACTTTGACATTTTGATTCCAGCATACCAACACTTCTTGCCAACATTTTTCTTTATTATAGCTCCATAGAAATCTTAGCCACGTTTACCCATATAAAAAATGTGGACATCTAGTGGATTTCCTGGTCATAGTACTTAATGTTCAAGAAACCAAGGGCTAAAATATGATGTTTTTTTAAGTCAACCAAAAAAAAAAAAAAAAAGAAGCAAGATACCGAGAGAGTAGAGTTGATGAGATTTATTTAATTTCTGTTATGATATTAGCTTATATTAATTCTACACAAACATCCAGTGATGAGCCATGTTTGGTATAGGTTTCAGATCTCATTAGCAACATGGAAAAGAATTGGCCGTCCCTAAGCTGCCCAAGTAGCAATGGCCTGAGGTTCTGGTCCCACGAATGGGAGAAACATGGCACCTGTGCAGAATCTGAGCTTGATCAGCGTGAGTACTTTGAAACAGCTCTCAATTTGAAGCAGAAAGTGAACCTCTTGAGCATCCTCAAGAATGCAGGTACTTAACACTTCATACATCTAACTCATTATATAAAGTTGGAAAGATACAACTTTAATTTCAAATATTTTAACTTGAAAAAACAGATTGCAAAACTTTATTCTAACCAGTTAAATGGGAATTTCAGATATTGAACCAGATGATGGGTTTTACAGCTTAAATAGTATCACAGAGGCTATAAAAGAGGGTGTTGGGTTTACCCCAGGGATTGAATGCAACAAGGATTCAGCCAATAACAGCCAACTTTACCAAGTTTACTTGTGTGTTGACACCTCTGGTGTAAATCTCATTGAGTGTCCTATACTTCCAAGTAGCAAATGTGGTTCTGAAATCCAATTCCCCAAGTTTTAAGAGCATGTAGTAGACATATTTTAATTTGTTGTTTACTAGTCATTACTTTCAAATTACACAGTAATTATGTCGTCACCTTCCTTTCTATGTGCCTTCATTCTTCTGAAAATAAAAGTCCATGGGATTGTAGATGAGTTATTGTCACTATGATTTTGTTTAGTCCTTGCTACATTTGATTCAAAAGACATATTAACTGACACCTCCATCCCCAAGAAAGCAAAAATCAATGTTTTAATTAACACAACTAGGCAAAAATGGAGGATTCAGCAAACTCACGAGAATTGTACTTTTTCAGACCTCCCAACAAATTTAGATTCAAAATAGCAATGTTTTGAGTACCTCAAATGAGGGGTTTGTGAATAGGTTTAGCAAACTAAGGATTTTTTTACGGAGAGGTTATACTTACAATCTATTTTCGTTTACAATCTTTTATAATCATATCTTAACCGTTGATTTCCGTCAATCAACGGTTAAGATTTTCACAAATCAAATTTATTAATTAATTATTAATTCGCAATAAATGATAACCGTTAATTGACGGAAATCAACAGTTAAGATATAGTTGTAAGAAGTTATAAACGAAGATAAGTCGTAAGTATAATTTTTTTTTTTTTTCCGACCTTGCCCCACATTTTATATTAGCACCCGTTGCTCCCTCTACTATGAGCTTTTGAGTTGATAACTCAAGTTCGTCCATAAGAAAATAATCAAAACCCACGTCCTACTTGTCTGCACTCCTACCTATTAAAATTTCAAATTTAAATTTAAGTATACCAATAGTATAAACAACAAAATTAAAAATTAGAGCCATCATCTCACTTAAATCAAGACATGAGAATACTTCAATGACCTTTGTTTAAACTTGAACAAAGTAAATGAAGACATATCAAAAGTGGACAACATAAATAGAAGGTTATAAAATTGACTTGAGAGGCTTTTTATTTAAGGCAACGTTAATTGCACGTACTAAAACATTACACCAATTTGAAAAAGATAATATTTTTCTCTTATCGAAGAAAAATAATCTCCAACAGACATAAATTCATGTGAACCCACTATTTTTTTTTTGGTAATATTTTCTTCCTTTTACATGACACAAGCAATCTTCCTACACAAACATAAAAGTGAGCCCATCAATTCTTTTACTTTTCTTTTATTTTAAAAATAGTGAACCCCACAATCTCTTGTCTCTATGACATGATCTAAGAATTTTCCTACAACATAATATTAGTTTTTCCCCTTTTTTTTTTAAACAAAGGTGGCATATTTTTTAAAGGTTCTGCAGGAAAAAATTTCTGTCTTCAGCATAGAAAACTTACATTTCCCTTTCAAAAATTCATTTATTTAGTACTCTTTATTTTAGTGTTCTTTTCTTCTTTACTTGGACTAAATAACCTAACCTCAAATTTGAGTTTGTAACTGCTTTCTATAACTGATTTCCCGTACAATTAGTTTTTTTCTTTCTTTAATGGAATTTGCATTTATTATTTCACATGACATTTTCTACACACACAACATTTTGTGGGATCCACACTTTTTGAAACAAAATAAAAAATAAAAAATTACGGCACGCAAAACGAATCTCTATAACATTACAGAATCATTTTTTTCCTACAATATAACTTTTATAAAACCCTTATATATCGATTCGTTAGTTTTCTTGGCTTGTCCTTCGTGGCAGGATCCTAACAAATGAGTATACTGCCAATTGGGGGGGGGCTCAGCATACTGTAATTTTTGTAGAGACAAAACTGAATCCATAACACATGTTCTTAGAGATTGCAAGAAAGCTCTTCCAATCTAGAACTATTGGTTTGCAGAATCTATTCCGGAGGACTTCCTAGCAGCTAACCAAGAAGAGTGGATAAGGAAGAACCTTATGAATCCTTGGCCCCATTCGCAGCTGTTAAAATGGCAGGACATCTTTTTTTGTTTCTATTTGGTTTTTATGGAGCTGGAGGAACAAAGAGATCCATGAATCTGGCTTCATCAGACCCCCTAACCAGCCTTTGTTTTTGAAGAACTACATTCGGGACATCAGTCAAGTGACTAGTCGGCAGATTCCGCAGCCAACAAACCAAACAGCGCGCAACTTGGTTCGATGGAAAGCCCCCCCTGTGGGATGGACAAAAATGAACGTGGATGCAGCATCAAGGTCTAATCAGTGTTCGGCGTCCTGTGGTGGTCTTCTTCGAGATGCCCAAGGCTCTTGGGTGGGTGGATTTACGTATTTGATTGGTAATTGTGATACTGTAACTGCTGAGCTGTGGGCTATTTTAAAAGGTCTTAATACTGCGTGGGAGTTGAGAGCTAACAAGATAATTGTGGAAAGTGATTCGCTACAGGCTATTCATCTTCTGACAGGGCAAGGGAGTATCAGTTACACTCAGGCTCTGGTTGAAGAGATCCAGAAATGGAATGAGAGGAATTGGCAAATTGTTTATCAACATGTGCTTAGAGAAGGAAATTCTTGTGCTGACTGGTTGGCCAAATCTGCCTTTCAGTCCCACAACCATTTTGTTTTATTGTCTAGTATGCCATCTGGGATGGAGACTTTGTTCCACGCTGATGCTACTAATATGTAGCTTTTTGTTTTTCTGTTTTTGGGCTTAGGCCCCTTCTATCTACTAAAAAAGGATGCATTCACTCAAAAAGCATTCGCTGGTGAGAACAGCCCACGTGCTTTCCATGGTGACAACAGCCCACATGCTTCAGCCCACGTCCATGCATATGGGTCTGGGTAACAGAAAATCCTTGCCTTTCGATGAGAACAACACATAAGCACATGGTATAAAGAATGAAATTTCGCCAGCATAAACTAGTTTCCTCCATCGATAAAAAAAAATTTCTCAGAATCTTGATTTTCAGAAATATAATTTTCATATTTAGTTTATGATAATATTCAAAAATTAAAAATTTTAAAAAATTCAGTTTTTCGAGCATCCTAAAAAAAAGCTTTATACCAAACGCCTTAGGGTTTCTAACTTATCGTTTTGTTGGAAAAGTTTTCAATTTACGTAGAGAGAAAATAATGGGGCCCATGATTTAAAAAAAAAAAAAAAAAAAAAAGCAAAACACGACTAGCAACAGGGGAAAAGTTTTCCCCAATTCTAATTGTCCTATTCTGAGAGTAAAATATCACGTCTTCTTAGTATTTCTAGAGAGATATATTTTTTTTTTCGAATAGAAAATATTATTATTTTCTCTGATATTTAAAAAGGTTATAATTCTTTCCATTTAGTAATTTTTTTTTTTACTATTGTCTACGATTTTTTCCTTATCATGTCGATGGTTTTTACATTAAATTTTGTGTGTTAATTCTTATTTTTCTAAAACTATATTAGACTGTTTTCATATCTCTATAATAACCATAGTTGTAAAATCCGGTCCGACTCGGAACCTGGCGAACCGGTCATCAAACCGATTCGGGTTAAGTATTAGACCGGTCACGTATCGATCCGGTCAAACCCGGTAAAAATTCGGATAAAACCGGTTAAACTCGATGACCCAGTGACCCGGTCGGGTCATGCATTTAAAAAAAAAAAAAAATTGTTTCATCTTGTTAAAAAAAATGTAGAACTCATTTTAAAACTTTTTGTAATTTTATTTGTTAGTATACTCTTCTACAATGGCCTCAAATTTTAGCTTCTAAAACTAAAGCAATTTGCGGAATAATAAATTAAGAGAATGTGACATATGTCATTTTAATGTAGTTGAATTTGAAAAATATGAGTTCAATGTCATTGAGAGGTATGTTTATAAAGATTCTGAGTTACAATTTAAATTGACATAGTAATAGCATTCATTTTTTTTATTTATGCTTCTTGTTTTTGAGTTTATTTAATGAACCTTGTTTAATTAATTTTAGATATAGAAGAATATAATTCAATTTATATGTTCATATATCTATATATATCCGGGTCAATCGATCCGACCAATGACCCAATATAACCCAGTACCCCGACCGAGTCGATGCCCGATCGGGTTTAATATCACTGATAATAACTAATAATGTATGTGAGAGTAACTTTTGAAATATGACCCTAACAATATATACTATAACAGTAGTTTTTGAAGTATCAGAAGTTTGATTACGAAAGTTTATCGTTTATATATAAGGACCATGAAGTGAAAAGGTGACTAAACTTTTTGAGGAAAAGCTCAAAATAGGTAAAGAGGTTTGTTGACATTGACCCAAAAAAAAAATTTCTTAAAATCTTCATTTTTCTAAACTTTGTAAGATGCAAATTTCTTAGTTAAACTTTTATAATTAAGTTTTTTAATAATTTTTAATTACTGATATACCAATTCATTTAACGTTGCTTAATACCATGTTGATTTTTTTTGTTAAAGCAAAACTTACTGAACGGTTAATTTAGAACTTCCTATGTTTTTCTTTGCCAACAATAATTTGCCCTCGATTCTGTCCATGAAAAACTGTAATGGTGAGATTTCACTTAATGACATAATACTTGTAGAATTTAAAACTATATTACTTAGAATGAGGGGGAAAAATGATTAAATTGAAATATTTTAAAACATATTGTATATGTGATTCTTATATCTTCCCTTAATGTTTTTGATTTTAATTTAGTTATTCCTTTTTTATTCGCTTTCTACAGTTTTTTATTTTGGTTTTTGGTTTTTATAATAAAATTAGGGGAATAACATGAATAAAAATGATCACATCTCAATTTTATTTTATTTTTGGTGAGGCACATCTCAAATTCTATTTGTAATATCAGATAACAAATAATGCAGTCATACTGAAAAATATTCATGACATAGAACATTTTGCAATATGTAAGATGAAAAAACAAAGTGAGGAAAAATATAGACAACACATATACATATATATATATATATATATACACACACACATATATATATATATATATATATATATATATATATATATATATATATAGTTTAACCTTTAAAATATACAACAACCTCTTCTTTCAATTCTAAAAAAAATTATAATCCAAGAAAATAGAAAACTAGAATAAGAAAAGAAAAGGGTTAAAACAACGTAGAGAAAACTTACTAATCTGTTTGATTGTATTCTATGTTTTTTTTTCTTCTTAAAACTATTTTGTAAAATAGTTAATGTATTT